ACATTATACTATGGAAGTAACTAAAGTAAACTAGTCTAGCAGTACTAACATCGGTAAGCTCACATATTCTGAGGACTGCGTATGCACCAGAGCTACATTACAGGCGAATGTTCCCGAATGTTACAAGTGTGGCGCAACGGATGCCCGGTTCACCTCCCTCACCGCTGTAATGCTCACTTTTGAACTGTTAGATTACAAGAGCATGTTCGCGGTGAAAGAGCCAGCGCCTTATGGACATTATCTAAAGTATGTGCTAATTCGTTATAAGATAGGATGTACTTTACCAGATCATATAAAATCCTGAAAACAGGCTAAAATTAAATTTAGAAACGAGTTATTTCATAATAAAGTTCCGTTGTTCCTGTGGACGAGTTCTTTGTGTTGTATGTGTTATGTCTACATATATGTCTGTGGCTATATCTATTCATATCTTGAAATTGTTTATCATAGACCACATACATACTTTTATTTCTTCCGTGTTGTTTATTGTGTATCAGATTGTCTGTTTACCTACTTTTTGTTTTATTTAATGTATATTTAGGGGACTATGGGTTTATTTATAAGTTAATTTTAAAATATGTGTTTTTTTATATGTGTGTAACTGTTTGTCTCTCAATAAATAAGAAAAAATATCTAACTTTGTATATAATTTTCATATGGAGATATTTCTCTTTATGTACTACAGGGAACCTGCTAAATTTTGGTTTTCAACTGAAGCACTATAGTTTTTCAACTTACATTTATCCTAAAATTTGCAAATTGCCCAGCGGTTTAATGACATGCCGCGCCGCCCGCTGCCCTATCAATCGCCATAAGGCGCTTGTTGACGATGGACCTGTGTTAAATTTTCTCCGCCTGTTCTTATTTTGGACTACCTTCAACATTCTGTAGCTGTAGAGCTTCTTGTGAAAGAGTTCGTCCAGGGTAGTACTGCCACCTTATCTCTTACCGCCTTCCGGCTTTGAACGGTAAGGGTGTTGGTGAAATTACGGCACATGAGACTTGCATCTTATGTCTCAGAGTGACGCGCGCAGTTGCGGTATCCGTCAAATTTTTGCTATGTAAAGTTCTGGGTGGCAATGCAACTGTTATGGACAGGCGTGCAGCTTACCGGCGCACGACTAGTCCGTCCTGTCACTTGATATTAATAAAAACCTAATTGTCAGCGCACAGGTTGCGGTACGCCAGAGGCGGTCCCCCATAGGTACCTCACCTCCTAAAATCCAAGTTCGCCTTGAAATTGCTCGCCTTGAAGCAAGTCTTATGTCAGAAAATAAAGCAGAATGTCATTGACTTACAAATAAATGGACGACGGGTCTTATACAAAAACCACGAAAAAAATGTCCCAAGTCAATCTATTTAAAGGTAGCGACATGTAAAGGAATATGAAAAAGCTAAAACGTTGAATTTAAATTGTAACGTCATCGCAGTACTGTCTAATTTTGCTTGCTTCGCTGTCAGTCGAACAAACGAAGACTAAAGCGTGAATGACGCTCTGTATACGATTTTAACGCCCTATAAGTTCGGACACTTTTTAGCGCGGACCCGACGTTCATATAATTGTAAGTCAATGCAGAATGTAGTATTTTTTTGTATAAGTTATGAAGTTATTATACTTATTACTGCCGCCAAGCAGTAATGTGAACATTACTGCGTTCCGATTTTGAAGGGTATGCGACCAGATACACGACGCGAAAGTTTTCGTGCGGCCGCCGCCCGGTAACCATCCAGTTATATAGTATAGTTATATAGTACGTTGTATAGTATAGTTGTTTAGTACGTTGTATAGTATAGTTATATAGTACGTTGTATAGTATAGTT